ACAAATAAAAAGGCACAGTCCCAATGTTACCAAACCACACAGCAGGCCATTAATTCAAGTCCACTGAAAGTCCCAAGGTCAGCAGATCATGGCAGGCTGCTGAACAATAACATGGCTACATGCAAGATTCAAGCTGCCATAAGCTAGAGACCATTCCCAAAGCTGTTTCTTATAAATGGGAAGCAGACCACATACCCAAAGCAGCTACTCAGCTGCTCCAATAGATTCCACCATGGAGTTGATTGCAGTCTCATCATGGGGAATACTACATCCAGCTACCCAGCCACTCAATCAGGTCCAGCCAAGTTGACACACAAACTTAACTACCACAGCCTCTCCTCAGTGAGAAGTGATGGTCCCTACCTCCTCCTTTTCCCTAAACTCTCCTCAGACATTTCTCATTTTTACTCCACCACCTTCTCCTCTCCTGGGAGCTCCATGGCACTGCAGTGCTGTGGATGGTTTATCTCTGCATCACCCAGAGCCGAGCTCCAGACCCTACCCACAGTTGGTACTGAATACACGTTCAATGGAATTTTCTGAAAAGCATAAAGAATGGCAGACAATCTAAAATTAAGCCAAGTTGATACTGTGACTTTCAGTCTGATTCTCCTGATCATTACCTCCTTCTTTCCTCTCACAGATCTTTACTGAGCACCTACTAAGTGCCCAGCTCATGATTAGTTTCTCTCTCAATTATTTGGTTTACAGTAAGCCAGGCAATAAAATCACAGTACTTTTTTCAAACTGCACAGCTTTTTGCTAAATGCATTCACCTAACACATTTACTTTAAACATTCTACAGTTTTAGCCCAATTACAGATGAGGAAAAGCAGTAACATACATTACGTAAAAGGCATTTAAACAAGATCATATAAGCAGACGGTGACAAACCCAGGGAGTGAGGTCAGGTCTCCATCATTCTTCCACTATACCCACCACTGATCATCAAGGAACAAAGGCTTACTTTTAGAAATTGTAAGTATTGGATTCACACGAGCACATGCTTAGGAGGAAAAGGGGCCAAACCTAATTGATTCATTACATAGAGCAAATGTTGAATAAATCACATAATTGATTCAGCAGCCTTTCCTCAGTGGCTCTGACATCTTTCTTTACCAAGAGGCATAATACGCACATGTAAAGGGGATCTTTTATACTGAGAATAGATATGGTAACAGGAAACAACAAAGCACTAAATTTGGGCTTAAGTAATTACAGAACAAAACCACTAAGCTCATCTCAGCCTCCTCTCCATCCCTAGTCCTATTTCTAGTCAATCACCAAGTCCTATGAATTCTCTGAATTTTTTATCATCAATAAAAAGTAATTTTACTAAGTAAGTAAATCACACCCACAGCATTTTCTCCTAAACATATATTCATAGTAGTTCTCTATGACCTCATCCCACTTGGGATCATAGGCAAATACGATTTGCATAGTTAGAATTATTGAGGATGTATAATTTTGTTTTTCTCATTGTCATGTTTTTCTGTTTGCATTGCTTCTTGTAACCATAGAAACTTCACAGTATCACTTGAGACAGCTGCAAAATATTCCAGCAAGGTCCTACTCCATAAAATAAGCAATTTTCTTTTTCCTGGGCAACTGGGTTGTGTTGTCTTCAGTTCTTCGCTATTGTAAATAACATTGCTGAGTATACAAAATTATATGTACCCTATGATTTCAACTGTAAAACACAAAACTTAGAAATATAAAATAATAATAACCAGAGTGAAACAGATGAAGATCAGTTTTATGTTTTTTTTTTTTCAGTTTTTAATTGTCCTGAAGTCTTACTATGATTTTCATTATTTACCATTTTTAATTGCATATAAAATGACACTCTAAACATTATCAAGCATGTAAGCTGTTTTCTTCTTTTATTTTTCAGAGGAAATTCCCACAAGAAGACACTTGTGTGGCTCATGAATTATCATCAGGAAGACGGAAGCAGAAAGTAAAACCACCAGCAACACCCGGGGAATTTCATTTCCCAAATTGGGTCAGCTCGGGATTTCATCATTTTTCTTTATGTTTGATCATTTAATCAGTGAAAAGTGGTACTTCATAGCTACCCAAGTTGCATCTCTGCCTCTCCTGAAGAAGCCGATATGTTTTAATGGCAGTGGACTATGCGTGCTGCTTCCTTTTCTTTACTGGATAGTTTTTTCAAATGACACTTGAAAATGCTCTCTTTATTTTAAGATGTGAATCTCTCATTTTTTGCATTATAGATTTTCTTTTCATCTTAGATGTGGAGCTTTCATAAGCTTTAATTTGCATACACTGTCCATCTTTCCCCTATAATTTCTTTCCCTTATAATTTATTGTATGCACCAATAAAGAGTACATTTTCTTCATACTTATGACAAACACACAATCTTTTTTTTTTTTCCTTTTTCTTTTCATTTCTTGGGTAAAGGATGATATTTTTATATTCTGTTTTATCATTCATCTCGTTTATCCTGACCTATGACAACAGGGACTTCATTATCCGAAAATCCAAACTTGTCACACCATATATCAATATGGGACAGATCAAAGAGTAAACTGTGTCTTCTGATGATAAAACTTCAAGAAGAAAATACGAGTAAATATTTATAAACTGACTTAGGGAAGGGCTTCATAACACAAGAATGACAGGCAAAATCACACATGCAAAGACAGAAAGATTTACTATGGAAATGTTTAGAATGTCTGTACGTTAAAAGTAAAATGCAAATAACCAGATAAAAGACTGCAAGAAATATTACAGATAAAAGTTAATGTCTGTAATACTTAAAGAACTCTGGAAAATCACTAACACTAATTCTAATAAATATATGGCTTAACAATTCAGAAAAAATATAGTGATTTCTTGAGTCCTTAATATAAATTGTTTAAAATATAAATTAACAATCATTCTTTCTCTCTTTTCAATCTAATTAGCAAACACAGGGCAACGGGGGCACACTGAGTTGGGCATTCATATACTACTAGAGCATGCACTGGCAAAACAATTTGGCAATGTACAAAACAAATATGGCACTTTGAGCCAATAATTCTACTCCTGGAAACCTGCACTAGGAATAACCAGAAACCAGATCAAATAACCAGAAACTCAGAAACCAGACCCTCCCTGGAGCTCTACCAAACTGTCCATGAATATTCCAATTGTGATGCACTTGAATCTAGGCCAACACATATCCCCCACCACGGGACCCTTCGCTCGTACTGACCTGCTAAAATCCTACTTGGGTTTCAGGTTTCACCTCAGACATGACTAAAAGAGCTAGGGGCCTCCTCTGTGTTCTCTGAGCACCTGCAGTCACCTCTCAGGGCATTGTGCACCCTGGACTACACTTACCTACTTATAAGTCTCTGTTCCCCAGCAGACAAGAACAGGAATTACGTCAAAACAGGAACTGCATCTGCCTTGTTTGGCTGTATCCCCCCATTTCCCATGTAGAGCCTGGCACAAAGTAGGTACACAACCCAGGAGGTGAATAGAAAAAAGGAAAAGTACCCCCTCTGTAAATAATGCCCTGGCACCCCACTGGGAGCTCTCCAGCTCCTCTGCAGCCCCAGAAGAAGGCAGACTCACCGACATGAAGTGGAACCTGAGGACGTTGTCGATGCCCAGCGCCTTCAGCTGCAGGATGACAGGTGCCAAATTGCTACGCTGCATCTCTGGGACCGTGGATTGTGGCAGCTTGTCAAAGGCATCCTCTGAGGAGAGGAAATCAGAACTATTGAAACAAACATCACAATCCAATGCAATCATTAAGCCAAAAGGAAGTCTTCCTTCCCTAACTCAAGCAACAGACCCTAGAATTCAGCCACAAGAGATGACTTTGATTTCATCGTATAAAGTTGTTTATGTATTAGAGAAAGACCATTTCCTTTTAAAAATATTTTAGATACATATATTTGAGCCATACCCTTTTATCAAAGTTTGTCCTTTTACTTTAGAATGCTCTTTTGAAAGTGCTTTTAAGTTTATCGACAAAACATTAAATCAAAGCAACAAGTAATCATATTTTTACGTAACTAATGCTCTTGTTCTGTTTTTTAGCCAGCTGCACCCTCCTCAGGACGCATTTTCGTAAGCGCTCTATGCTCATTTCTTTCACATGTTGCTGTATCCAGAATATAACAAATGACCAAATCTTATAAAGAGCAGAAATTGTCCAAATCTAACTTTATTAAAAAATCACTGAGCCAGTTTTTTAAAAATTAGGATTGCAGTTCCACTAAGATGGTGGAATAGGCAGACAGCCTGCACAGACCCGACCCTCTTCAACAAAGAAAAGGGGAACCACTTAACACAGATACAAAAGATAATCCTGGAGCCCTGAGCTTTGAAGGGAAGGATATAAAAGTGGACTAAACTCCAACTAGTAGAAGAATTTGCATGAAAACACCGAAAAAGGAGACATAAGGAGCTGGAGTTTATCAGAGATCCTGATGGCACGGACAGCTTGGATATTGCCGAGTGGTGTTAGCACCTGAGAATTAACCTAAAAATCAGCTCTGCTAGCCAGGGACTGCACAGTGGACTGCACTGGTGGCTGGTAAATAAAAAGGAAAGCAGAGAAGAAGAAGGCGGGCTGAGCTGTGGAATTTTGCCTGCCCAGAGAACATAGCCATTTTGAACATTTACAAGTGATTTGACCATTTTGGATATTTAAAGTGAGAGCGTTCTCCCAGATTCCAGGGACTTAAGGATAGACTCCACTTGCTGGGAACAGCAAGGACATTCCGGACACAAATGACTGGAAAGGTGTGCTATTCCCCTTGTTACTCTTATATCCCAAAACTTCTTGGTGAACGGAAGTACGGCCATCCCTCATTCCCACCCACCTTCTGGGCCGGCAGGAATTCCATCCCAGTCTGCGTGCTCAGATGGAGCCTGAGTGACCTGCCCCGTCAAGATAATTTTTCTTAGCTCATTTTTGTCTGTTTCAAACTTATTATTTTTTTTTTTTTTTGTCCTTTTTATTACTATTCTTTAGCCTTCCTTTCCCAGGTACTAGTTTTCTGCCTTTTCTCTCTTCCCTGTTCCTGGTTCCCATTTTTTTCTTTCTCGTGGTTAACGCCATTCCTTGTTTTTCTTTTTGCAATTTTCACAGTTTTTTGTTCATTACCTCCTACTCTACGTTTTTTCTCTTATTGCCCTCTCCCCAGATATTTTGAGTTTTTTTTCTTTTTTTGATGATTGTACCTGAGTGTTTATGCGGTGGGATTTTTGTCCACTTCTTTTTAATTTTTGGATGGTTTTTCGATTGTTGTTTTTGTCTGAGTGGAAGACAGCAACGGTAACCATATGACACAACTACACCCACACCTCCTGCAGTTTGACATACTGAGTGAGAGCCACCACTTCCTTCTCCACCAACTGGCCAATGATAAATGACCACCAAGAAAAGCCTGACTCAGCCTTACTGCTCTTCATGAACAGTTAACAGAGATCCAAATACAACAATGTCACAATGTCTCGGAGACAACAGACCATCACAGTCCACACAAAGAAGCAACATAAAGTGGCAGAAACAAGGGTGCATGATACAGACCCAGAACACTCCCTGAGGAAGCAGCAGCATTGGAACTTGCTAAAAAGGAATTCAAAAGAATTATATATCGGTACCTTCAAAGGATTGAAAGACAGATCAAAGAACACAATGATAAAATTAAGGAAAACACAGACAAAACCCTAGTACAATTTCGGAAGAAAATACATGACAAAATGACAAAATAAATGAAAGATTAGAAATGATACAAAATCTACACATAGAAATCCAGAAGATTAATACTAAATTTACAGACATAGATAGCACATTAAAAGGGCAAAGGAGTAGAACTGAATCAATGGAAGACAGAATTAATGAGATTGAAAACAAATACCTGAATACTTCTTTGGAAAGGGATCAATCAGAAAAAATACTGAAACAAAATGAAGAAAGCCTAAGGTTCATGTGGGATACCATCAAAAGGAACACCTACGTGTAACTGGAATTCCAGTACAGAAAGAAAAAAAGAAAACCACTGAGAAAATTGTCCAAGATTTCTTGAAGAGAACTTCCCTGATATGATGAAAGATGAAAATATATCCATTCAGGAAGTCCAATGAACCCCAAACAGGATAGGCCCCAAAAGAAAATCACCAAGACATATCATCATCAAACTCATCAAAACCAAAGACAAAGAAAGAATCCTGAAAGCTATATGGGAAAAATGAAAAGTTACTAACAAATGACAACCAGTAAGAATAAGCTCTGATTTCTCAGCAGAAATCATGTAACCAAGAAGGCAATGGGATGGTATATATAAAACCCTGAAAGGGAAAAATTTCCAACCAAGAATTATATACCCGGCAAAATTGTCCCTCAAATACGATGGTGAAATTAGGAGATTTCCAGATAAGCAAAACTTAAGGGAGTTTGTTAAAACCAGACCAACCTTTTAAGAGATGCTAAAGGGAGTCCTTTGAACAGAGAACCAAAAATAGCAAACAACAACCGACCATTAATACACAAGATGACGTAACCCAGAAACTAAAACAGCTATGGAAGTATCCAAAGTAAAATAAGATTACAAGATTATAAACAGGGAACCAGAGACATCAACTGGCAAATGAGGACAACTACAAACCAAAAAGAGGGGAAAAATAGTGTAGTCATACAACTTCTAAATGTAAGGAAGTCAAGAGAGTTCCAAGAGAGAATGGATTGTTCTAAACTCGGGAAGAAAATTATAAATCACAGGGTAACCTCAAAGAAAAATGATAAAATTTCACACGATAAAAAAGAGTATCAGCACAAATATTTAGTAAATACTAAAACAACAGTAACAAAGGGAATAATAACACAAGTGATAAAGATAATAAACTTGGCACAGAAAATTATATGGAACAAAGAAACCAGAAACACCATGAAAAAACACATAACAAAACGACAGCAACCAATTCATACTTGTCGATAATTACACTGAATGTTAATGGATTAAACATACCACACAAGAGATGGAAAGTTGCAAACTGGATAAGAAAACATAACCCATCAATGAGCTGTGTACAAGAGACACACCTTAGAGAGAAAGACAAAAATAGACTAAAAACAAAAAGTTGGGAAAAAATAAGCAAACGGCAACCAAAAAAGAGCAGGAGTGTCAATATTAACTTCTGATCAAATTGACTTGAAGACAAAAACCACCATATGAGACAAGGAAGGACATTATATAATGATTAAAGCATCAATTGAACAAAATAATAAATATCTATGGATCCAATGAAAGAGCCCCAAAATACATAAATCAGACTTTAAAAGAGTTGAAAAGTCAAACAGATGACTCCACAGTCATGGTAGAAGACTTTAATACACTATTTTCAAATGAAAGAAAAACTCAACAAAGAAGCAGAAGAGCTAAACAATACAATCCACCAAAACTTGACATTAAAGACATCTACAGAGCACTTCACCCAACAACAGCACAATATACATTCTTTTCCAGTGTA